TATTTAAACATAAAAACAGCATTTTAATAACAGCTAAAGGTGACATAGATACTTTATTATGATATAGTATTTAAATATATGCCTGAGAAACACATAATATTGCCCCTTTAAGGCCCTGCCATACTAGACAACTTATGCCAACGTATGAAGCATGTTTTTATTTCTAAATTGCAAATAAAAGTTATATATTTGATAAATTTGTTAGAATTACATTATGTACACACCGAAAAGAAGCTTGCTGTTGATTTTTTCAATTCCATTTTCTATGTAGATGTCTTTAAAATGTTCATAAGTTGGCATAAGTTGTCTAGTGTGTCAGGTCATTTATAAACTTTTGAAGCCAACTCCATTTACAATGGCTGCTGCAGCCAAGCAACCTTTACAAACACAAAAAATAGTTATAATTCAACAAATTTAACACATATTGGGCTAAAATTCGGTATGGTAGTAGCTGAGGGTTGTTTGAAACATGAAGTTAGAGCAGGCACTGATTACACAAAACATGTTTTTTAAAATCCCATTTTAATCCCATTAACTTTTTGAATAAACGTCTGTTTGCAAAAGCCATTGCACAGATTTGATTGAAACTCCCAGAGAGAAATTAACCAACTGGAGGCAAGTGGTTAACTTTTGGAGCCAACCTATCAATGATTTTACATTATTACATAAGTATTTGTGTAAATGTTTGATGCCAGCAGCTATGATTTTGTCCCTTCTCAGCAAAAACAATCTAATTTAGAACTTTGGTCTAAACGATAACTGGCATCGTATGTTTATTAGGGCTTTATTATAGTATTTCTTTATTTCACTTGTTTAAGTTAATGCTCCAAAATCTTCCCATTCATTTTTTATACACTTTTAATTAAAACCTTTGGGAGAAAAGGATACGCTTAACTTTGTTTTACCACTATACTTTGATTTCACTTTTTTTTTGCTATATGTTGTATACCTTAAATTTTGTTCCATGCCCCATCAATCCACTGGTATGTTTTATGAGTTCATTAAAATAAAATAATAGTCCAAAATCCTACATCTCAGCTGTGATTCATAAACGAAATGGAGTTTGCTTTTGTGGGGGAAAAAAAAGTCCAATAAAATAAGAAAAAAAAAACACTAATTATTTCTGGCTGGTGGAGTTATTACTCTTTTTGTGTTACCCTTCTGAACACGAGGGGGTAACAAACAGGATAATTAACTCAAGGATTTAGAATATTTAAAGATTATTTTAGACCAGTTTTCTTTTCACCCATCCTGTCACCTGTGACACACTCAGCCTACTTCAGAGTGTAATACCACTCAGCTGAAGAATTAAACTAATGACAGTAATGATCATTTATCATAGAGCTAAGCTCGGCTCCCATTGTGCGATTTCTGGTTGTTATAAACGACCAGTGCGTGTCACACTGTGCAAACTTGAGATTATAAAATCTTGATAGCAACCTGCGTCACACTGTATTAAGCCAGATTGTATAGCTGCTGGACTGTGTGACGTTCTGCTGCTAGAGAATCAAATACATGACAAAGATCCAGCAGTGATAACAGTTTAACAATAAAAGTAAATTAAACGTTGAAGTCAACGCTCTAATTATTATATGCAGACACTAAATAGAGAGTAAGGAGGAGGAGGATCATTTTAAATGGGTAACAAATTCAATAAAGTTATGTAGACACCTGGCAACTGGGCCTTGAAACACCCACATTTTTTATAGAGTTGATGCTTTCATTAATATTTTAGTGTCACTTCTCCAAATAGGATGGGCCAATAGAATTATAGTTTACTACGAGATTTAAAAAACACTTAAGGATGGCTTATTTTAAGCCACTTTTAAGTACCAGCTCTCATCAAGTTAAACTATTACACCATAAATTGGGCATGACATGTTATAGTTCCTGCTGAGTTTGATTAATGGCTGTGGTGTTCACTGATTTTTCTGCTTTTTTTGTAATCACCTACACTTAAGGGCTGATTACCAGACATAAGACTAGCTCGCAGTGAGAGGGAGASTTCATGATTAGAGTGAAGTATAGGGATACCGGTGAGCTTGCCAGCTAAAATCAAAGAGGCCATAGCTTAACAGGGAACTAGGTAAGCGGATTTTGTGTTGTGTCGAAATTTGTTGTGCCGGATCCTGCTTAAGAAACGCTGCAAGTTGTTTCTCCTGGAACGCCGGCTATCTTTCTTAATCAGGGAGCTCAACATATTTTTTTTGGCTAATGAAGCACAGTTCATTGCACTCTGATGCGGGAATGTCCTCAGGTAGATGTCTGTATTTCTACCWTGAGATTTCCCTGGCAAGGCGTACCCTCTCCGAGGCTTAGATGATTGCAAACTTTGAATTTAGTCTCTTAACAGCCCGGAGTAACAACCTCTTATKATCTGACGAAATCCGCTGGGATCTGCGGTGACAGTTTCACTTTCCCAGGAAGAGGCCGTGATTGAATGCTAACCGTGCGATGACCTTGAGCTGTCTTAGCCATATCGACGAAACAATATGTACACACCTATCATCAGCCGAGGCATAAATCACTATCACCACTGTGGACTCTAAATCAAGTGCTTGTCAGTGGGTGGGAACCGAGGGCCGCTGCGAACCAACGGGGCCAAAAGGGAAGACCCAATTCAAAACATAATTACAGATGTCAAGAAAACCACCAGGTTGGGAAATGTAAACAGAAGCTCAAGAATGTACTCATTAGGCTGCCCTCAGGGGGGTTTGGGGGCAGCAAAGTTCCAGCACAGTATACGTATGTGGATTGCAGAAAGCTTCAGCTACCGTGGGGATGTGAATCTCATTTGGGTCCTCGAGAGTGACACGGCCTTTATTTCATATGCAGCCCCGTAGACGTGGTCACGTGCGCGCGTAGTGAATTATTCCTTACGAGAAAGTTTGATTAAAAAATGTGTCAAGAATCAATCACAATGTTATGATCCTGCCTAATATAKTTCCCGTGCTATGACGACCCCCTTTGGAAATAAAACACTCGTTTGACTGCTTTAACTACTTTTACAGCAATTAGCTGTAATGAAATATGTGCGTAACCTTCTGGAGAAGTGTTGGTCTTCAAAAGCACGAGTGTGCTAATTTGACTAGCTTAGCTTTCAGTGTTCTTTTTAAATGAGTGAAGTGCTGCACTCTGAAACGACAGATGATTATTTTATAGTAGTCGAGTAAAGTCGCTAATCCATCTGTGATCACGCTGTCAAAGCTGTTTGAAAGCAGAGTTTGATTTCGGCTCGTTTTCTCCAGCGCCCCCCCCCCCCCCTTTTTTTTTGAAGACTGCTTTAGATGAATGAAGCTGCTTCGTAAAAAGCTCTGAAAAAAAAGTAATGAAACCGGCATCAACTTGTACTTAAGTTTCTCCTCATTTTTAATGTGGACTTCACATTATCCCTTGAAATTATTCTACTTAAGTTTTTGTTCTGCTCTATGTCAAGACCCCTGCGTAGGATGAGGTCAATTAGTTGGCAACAGAACCGTGATTCTGTCTGCCAACCGTTGGGATTCTCAAGCCTTGAGGAGAAATTCAGATGTGGGAAGTCTGGAGCACTTTAATAGACCCTGCAGGTTTCTACTACTAACCACTTGGCTTCACTGAAACAGTTTCTTAGTGTTATTTTCAATTAGATATATTCCATTGAATTCCATTGTATAATGAAGTGCCTTGTTCCTTTCTCAAGAGACCAATGCACATATGGGGCAATTATTCTTGAGCAGTATTTAATCCTTTGTTTAAAAATATATTCTACCAGTGAAATTCAAATTTATATTTTCCATGCCTTCGCGGTGTAAAGCTTCAAGCTCTGAAGTGTGCGGGCTTCTGCGAATAAAGTTAGGTGTGCATCTCATCTCACATTTGAATGTCCTTTGGAGCCCACTTCAAAATGTCCTCCTCTTATATTCAATGAGAGTGGAATACAGCCGTCGTTATGATATTTCAGAATCAGTTTTTGAAGGCCTTCCTCGCTGCATATTGCCGTGTTATAAATGTACTGTCAATCCTAGTTGGATTCCCGTGTCAAGGGAGTCCTTCGGTGAAATGAAATTATGTCTCAGCTCAAAAATCATCACGCGCCACAGTGTCCCACAGACAGTTCATTTTCCTGATGGAAAATGTGCTCGGATTGTTCTCGAGGGTGAGAAAGAATGGGAGCGGTAATTCAAGTACGTAGGATTTGCTCTGTGTCTGTGCCTATGTGTGGACACATTTGTGTGGCGCGCACATGTAAATCATGAGTCAGTCACGCTCCACATCAGAGGGGGGGTAATGGAACTTATTTTTTC